AATATCCGATCCAATAATTTAGGTCAGTATTGGACCAATACCGATACGTTATATCGGATCGGTCCATCTCTAGTAATAAATACTGCATCTGAATCACAGGCCATCATACCCAAACAAATTCAAAAATAACCTCAGATGGGTGAGATGATGGTAAAGGTTGATGCTTCAGCTCAAGCAACGCAGCAAACACAGCTTCAATCTCCTACTTTGACTGAGAACTCTCAGAATGAGATTGTTAACAACATGCAAAGACAAAATGACATTGCTACTCTACTTGTAAAACAAAACTTATCTTCTGTCCTCCCAGCCAGAAACATCCTTGTGTTTGATGGAGACCCTTTACAGTATAGATTATTTATGAATACCTTTGAAAACGGAGCAGAAGCTAAAACTGATAACTGGAGTGATTGTTTGCACTTTTTAGAGTAGTTCATTAGGGGGCAGCCTAAAGACTTGGCGCATAGTTGTCAGTATTTACTTCCTGAGCAGGGCTATTCCAGAACTAAACATCTTCCGGAAGAACATTTTGGAAATGAAAGTAAAATTGCCTCTGCACACATGAAGATCATGAGCTGGACACCTATAAAAAGTGAAGATGTGAAAGGTCTTCAGTCATTTTCTCCAAGGATGTTCAAATCTAACACGACAAACTGTTTATATGAAGGAGCTGGATTTGCCTTTAAACATGAGAATGATTGTTTTGAAACTCCCATACAAACTGACTGAAAAATGGAGAGTTGTTGCTTATACGCTGCCAGAACGAAATGTTTACAGAGCAGTGTTAACTTATCTGGTTGCCTTTATAATAAAATAAGTGAAAGTACCATCATTTCCAGTGTTTGACAATATCCAAGACTCACAATCTGGGAGCTCTAAAGTTTCAAGTTCCAGTTTTTCCACAAATTTCAGCACAGTTCCAGGAGTCAAAACTCAATCAGCTAAAAACAAGATCACCTCCACTGTCCTCCATAGTTGCTTGTTTTCTTCACAGAGTAATCATTTTTTGTAGAAATGTATGCCGTTTAAAGCTAAAATGCATCAGGATAAGTTGACTTTTATCAAGGAAAGGGGAATTTGTTTTGGTTGTCTGAAAGTTGGCCATACGATCAAAAAGATTGCAGGAGCCATTTGGATTGCAATATGTGTCACCTAAAACACCCAGGGGTTCTTCATATAGCGCAAAAGGAACCAGGTGCATCCTCAGAACAAACCCAACAGACGACAAGCTCCCATGTTAACTTCTCAACTGCAACCTGTGGTGGCAGATTTCTTTTCTCATATATTAATCACATATTTTAATCGTATCACATTAGTAAGAGTAATATCACTTTCTCACTTAGTTGTATTCATGTGCACTACAAATGGGCGTTATGCTCTACACACACACTTGACACAGTGAGGCCATTGTTAGTTCATGGGAGACATTAAACAGATAGTGAGACTCCTGTTTATAAGGGATGTAAACCCTTAGGTCAAAGCCAAGAAGAAAACAAGGTCATAATTCTCTCTGAGAGGGAGAAGATTTTAAGGATGTGGCTGAAGGTATAGGCCCCCGGTGAGAGGGGCCAACATGTAAGAGTTCTTTGTCTGTCTATGCATTGAAAGATGTTTGGGTGGCGAAATTTCAGAGATGATCCTAGTGTTTTGGCTGGGATGTTTCTCTCCATATTGCAATATGTTATTAAACCATTTCAAAACGCTCACTGGATGTGTTGCAGGTTATTTAAAAGTTCCACAACATTTCCCAATTATCTATGAAGCCCACATCGTTTCTGGGACACCACTCAGACAGCCAGCAATTTAAGGAGAACATGCGGCTAAACATGTCACTCCTGGTCCAACTGGGGAGAGACCAGAGAAAACTACAGAGTCTGACATTGGTTAAATTTCCCTCAATGTCACCTGCTCTGGTCTCTGGAGGACAATTGTCTGTCTTTACCTTCGAATGTCTCAGAACAGAATCACCAATTACCACAGTTTGATCCCTGGCAGGTGTGTCACCGAGTGGGGAAAAATGGTTAGATACATGTACCAGGAGCTTCTGTTTAGGACTACGTTTCCTCCTCACCGTCACCCAGCCATCCTGTTTCCCTGGCTGCTCAGTAGTGATGGGTTGGTCGCGAACGAAATGGCTCTTAGAGCCGGCTCTTTTACGTGAACGACGCGAGCTGGCTCCTTATCGCGAGCCGTGTTTTGGTTTTTTTTTTTCTCTCTCTCACCCTCTCTCTCGCACTTTTTTCTGCTTACTCCGCATGCGAGCCTCGTGCTTTACGCTGGGAAGAGGGGGGAGGGGCGGTAGCACAGGAGGGAGAGAGAGAGAGAGAGCCAGGGACAACAACATCACATTAGGTATAGTAATCATCCACAACTATTTTCAGTTGCAGATGATAAAGGATTCAGAAAGTTTATTCATGCAGGTCCATATGACAGAGGATATGCATGTTCTTTTTGTTGTCATACTATAATTTATATTTAATTGTGTTGTGGTTTGCAGTGTTTTGTGTTGTTTCACTTTA